AGTTTTTTGTGTAAATAATTCTACATTTGTATGTTCAACTTTCATGATAAAGAGATTGCACGACAGTACTTGTATTAGATAAATTGACAAATACTATTTATTTTGTTTTTTACTGGGAAAATATTTGTAATCAACAATAAATATAAAGTGAGCACCGTACACTTTGTATTCTGTGTTGTAATCGAAATCAATACATTTGAAAAAATAGAAAACATCCAAAAATATTTAAATAAATGGTATTCTATTATTGTTTAAGAGTGCAATTAATCACATGATTAATCACGATTAATTTTTTTAATCGCTTGACAGCCCTAATAATAATAATTAATAATAATGTGACATTCAGTTAGCTCTAAGCATGAAGGCCAGTGTCGTGCCGTCACTCATGCACATGAGTAAATTATAAACAAGAATGGTCCCATTGAACTATTCACATGCATAAAGTTACTCACGTGCATAAATGCCGGCAGAATGAAGGACTACGACAAAAATTGTCTGTCTTGCTTTTTGATTTGTCTAATACAAGGAATCTAGAAAGTTTAAGAAAACACTGTGCATCTAAATTAAAGAGACGGTAGCAGATTAAACATTCCTTTTTTAACAAACTGTCCTTGCAGTCCTGACAACTCCTTAGATTACTACAACTGAAGACTCTTCGAAAAGCCAATTTGCTTTTTCATTATTTTTCCTGTACTTCTGCCTTTCTCGGTCACACAACAAAAACTGACACTTCAATTTCGTGTCTCTCCAGTTTCAAGTTTTGTCCCTCCTGTGAATGCTGCAATGTTATGGGCTTTTTTCAGAGAAACATTAAATTAGCCTTATGTTTTGGGGGAAAAAATCCTAAATTCAGGCCCAAATTAAGAGGATATTTGGTGTCAATCTAGCAGAAGCCTAATTTCAGGACGCTACATTCAGCTGATGGCAGCTTGTAGAGAAGTTAGGGTGACCAGATGTCCCGATTTTATAGGGACAGTCCCGATTTTGGGGTCTTTTTCTTATATAGGTTCCTATTAGCCCTCCCACCCCTGTCCCGATTTTTCACATTTGCTGTCTGGTCACCCTAAGAGAAGTGGGCTGGGGTTACAGGCCAGGCAGCTCCACAGTTGGAAAAGGATTCGCGTGAGCTCTGCCTCCAAGTAATTTCCAGATTCCCAGGTGGCCTGGAACTGGCAGGGACAGAGAAGTCAGTTTACGCGTGGCAAACATGACAACTCTCTATTCTTTCCTTCTGCCACTGCATCTGGTCTACCTTGCTGAGACAGCACAGCTGGAAGGAACACCGGCTGTGAGCCACAGGGTGCTACCAACTCAGCGAAATAAGCAGGACTGTCCAAGGATGCAGTTCTCCGCTCTGCTTTCAGTGTCGGTGAAAACCACCAGCTGTGCTGGGAGAAAGCCACCCCGAGTAGGTCTTGAACTCAGAGCTTCAACACTGCAAGTGTCTCAGCTCACTGTTAACATGGAGCCATTTGTATTTTTAGGCGAATATATTTTTATTTTCTAAACCACTTCACTTCACCTTGACTGTACGAGCCAATGAAAGACCAGCACAGCATGGCTGAAGCCGTTGGCTGGCATATTTTACACACATCCACACACAGGTTGCACCTTCTCTAACTACCAGCCCTGAAAACTCAGCTTGGGCTCTACGAGACAAGCTGGGGTCTTTCCTTCTCACACGTCATCAGCTGTAATAAGCGTTCTGCAGGGCAAATTCTGCCGGTGCCACCCCAGAATCCTGTTAAAAGGAGAGAGGGTTTGACAGCCAGCAGCGTCCTCTGCTTGTCAAGGACTGAAATAAAATTCAAGGGGATGATAAGAGATGGGAGGGAATAGGAGGCAGCGCTGGGGCCTCCCATGGACTTCAGCAGAAGCTGACTGCATGGCTCCGAGTTGGAGGCCCACAGCGCCTCGCAAGGTCAGCCCTGAGGAGTGCAGTTCAGACAAAATCTCTCTCTCTTCTCCACCTTCTAGGGTGTGCGCTTCAGAAAGGGACAATCCCCTCCCCTGGTCCTACAGCTCACCTGGGCACTCCTTGGCCTCAGTGTCTCTCCCAGCCCCCTAGGTTCCTCTTTATCCCCGGGCCCCCGCTAGGCCTCTAAGTGTCCTATCACCTCCTTGCCTCCCCTCTTGGCCCTTAGTCAAGCCCCCAGAGTCCCCTCACTTCTATGCTCTCCATTCACCCTCATGCATCCAGTCCTACCTACCTCCTCACCTCATGCACCTTCCAGCCTGGAGCCCACCCACCCTCTCACCCTTATGCACCCCAGCTACCCGTCACTGCCCGCTCCTCCAATTCAAACCTTTACCCCAATGTTCCCCAAATCCCTAGGCTGCCCCTCAGTTTGTCCTAGTCACCAAGGTCTATCCTTCCCCCCCCCCCCACGCTCCCCCAGCCCTTGTTTCTGCCTCAACACCATGTTCTCCACATCCCACCCAGCCTCCTACGTCCGATTCTCACTCCTCCCCATCTCTACCTACTGCTCCCCAATGCCCCGTGCCCAGCCCCTCTCCCATGTTATGCCAGAGCAAAATCACTTACCCAAGTGGGGCATAGAAAACAGACAAATCCGGCAGATAAGTCCATATCAGAGGGGAACTCTGTGGGTATTTCCACATGAGCAGCCTACAGAACACTCAGCCAGCTGTATCGTTCACTGCTCACCAGAGCTACATACGCTGTGGGGAACAGGAAAGCAGGGTGCCTGTGACAGCACCCTACAACATAATCACGAAGCTGCTTGGACAAGGTGATGCCCTGGCTCCCAGCTCCATCCATACACATGCTAGATATGTTTTCTGCCAGGTGCATGACAATAAAATACGCAAATACTCTGGGGCTGCCAAGAGCAACCTGTTATAAATAGCTCTTTATACTGTTTATAGTACAGTTAATAAATGATATTGGACCTCAGGTTGCAAGCCTTCTCTGGGCGTAAATCTAAGTTCAGGGACTTCTGCTCAGGGACCAGCCGGGGACCACAAAGAAGGCAGCAGAGTTAAAAACAGACTGTCGGGAAAATTAACGGCTTTAATTACATCTGATCAGGTGCGTGCTGGGATCTCAGAAATAAAAGAAGCAGTTGGTGCAATGACAAAATAAATGAAAATAAAGCCAATTATTTAAAATAGGAAAGGACGTTTAAAACATTTTGCCAGCGCATCGTCACTAGCTGAACCACGAAAGAGTGGCCGGCAGGAAGACCACAGAGGTGTGTATGTGTGTGTTTTGTATTACAATAGCACCTACAACTCTCAAAATCAGGGACCCATTCTTCCAGACACTGTACAAACACATAGTGAGAGACAGTCCCTGGCGGTGTTTATTAATCAACTCATGTGAAACCCACATAGGTCACAGAACTGCGGGGCTTACAAGACGTAGTCCCCATGCTCTGCCTTTCTCCCTGCTCCAACAAAACAAGCCAGACTTCATCATTTTCTCTGTAAATACTGCTATAGAATGCTTTGTATTTGCAAGCAGCTGCCCTCCACAAGCACACATGGCGAAAAGGATCCGGCTGCTGCCAGCGTCTAATCAGGTTCAGATTGTTCTCTGTATTGCCAAACAGGAGGGAACGCTGCATGCTCGGATAGGTCCTTTTCATTCTATTTTCATGTTGTATCTTCAGTATGACCCACCCTCACCCCCTTCTTCTCCCCACGGACAGCAGAAGAGTGCCATTGTTGAAGGCTCTTCTGCTTGAAGTGCAGATGAAAATTAAAGTTACACCCCGTGCCACTGGACGCGTGGCAAGGAATCAACATGTCCAATTTCCCTGCACACACCCCAGTCCAAAGGAGAGAATTAAAGCAAATCGGTTTGCATTTCTGAGAATACAGAGAATACTGGAGGTGCTGCGGAAGCAGTTGAGGTGTGCATTTGTGGCCCTTCTCGCTATGATCATTTTAATACTGGGTGCGTCCTCTATCAAATCTATCTTGCACAGTTTAGTGCATCTTTCCTTTCCACCTAATCTCTACTATTCTAAGTGACCTTGGGGATCTGAAAAGCTGGTGTATTTAAATTTATTGAGCCAAAACAATTACATTAAATTAAATTACAATGCTTATTATTTACCTGGCTCTCCATTTCATGATAACAGTGATGACTTACAATGCCTTTCATCTAAGGATCTCAAAACACATTATAAACATAAATGAATTAAGCCTTTTAACCTTTCTGCTCCCTCCTCCTGCTCACATATTAGAGTTGGTTGAAAATTTTCAGATAAAGGGACTTTCTGTGTGTGCGAATTTGCCCGTGTTTGTGATTTACTTTGTCCCTTTTTTCACCAGGTCGAATTAATTTCCCCATGTTATGGACGGGGAAACTGAGGCACGAGGCGCGGGGGTTGGGCGGAGGGATTAAGTGATTTACCTAGGGCTACATCTGTGGCAGAGCTAGTACACAAAGAAAAAGAAACTGTGCAGGATTTTTAAAAAATAAAAATAAAAAACTGTTAAGGTTTAACCAACAACAACAAAAACCCAACCCCCACACATTTCGTGTTTGCAAAGTTTTCTGCAGAGGGCTGAAAGTTCGCGAAATCGCGTGGGACACAGGCCTGCCATCCCTTAGCGCAGCGGAGCGACTGCCCATGGCCGGGCAGCAGCGCTCAGGAGCGGTTTACACGCCAGGGACCAGCCCAGGGCGAGAAGGAACCCAGCCCGCCTTCCCCGGGGCTCGCAGCCGAGGTGTCACGGGCGGGGGCTCCCCGACACCAGCCCCGGAGAGGATCGGGAGGGGAAACGATGCCCCGCTGAGCAAGGGGGAGTCGATCCGGAGCCCGGGCCCAGGCCCGGACCCACAGCTGCTGCGCTTCCACATCTGGCGCTACAGGACCCCACATCTGGCTTTGCACCACATCTGGCGCTGCGGGACCCCACATCTGGCTCTGCACCACATCTGGCGCTGCGGAACCTCAAATCTGGGACCCCATATCTGCCCCAGCGCCAGCCCGCCCCCAGCCCCCGGCCCGGCTCGGCTCACTCACCTGCCCCGGGGCGCCAGGGGCCACGCAGCCGGAGGGTTCCGCACGCAGCGCAGCCCGAGTGCCGCGACTTCTTCCCCTTTCCTTACGGCGCCTTCCCCATCGCCCAGCGCCCCGCCCACCGCGGGGCTGATTGGCCCGGCCTCCCCCAGTGACGTCTTATTATGCAAACGAAGGAGGGTTTCCTTCCCCTCGGCGGGGTGGGCGGAGCTTTCCCGGCAGCAGGGACGAGCCGTCCAGCTGTGCGCGGGGAGGGAGGGGCGGGAATCTGCCCTGCCAGATGTGCGGGAAAGGGGAGGAGGGGTGCAGGGAATGGTTCCCTTCTGGAACAGCCCGAGAAGGGAAATTCTGCCCTGTGCAAAGGGGAGAGGGGGCAGGGGGGGTCATTCCCTTCCAGATGTGCAGCGCCAGAGGCGTCGTTCTGCCCTTCCAGATGTGCAGCAGAAGAAGGGAGATTCTGTCCTTACAGATGGGCCAGCGTGGGGGAGGCGAGGGGATTCTTTCTTTCCCGATGTTCCAAAAAATAATAAAAGAGGGAGACTTTTTCCTCTTCCAGATGCTCCAGCTGTTCCGCAGCAGGGAGGGGATTCTGCCCCTCCCGATGGTCTTGCATTCACACAGCTGGAGAATGGGAAGAACACTGCTGAGGCATCAAGGATGGGGGGGGGCGGAAGAGGGGGGACTGCTGTGTTCTCTGGCCCTTCATCCCTAGCCCCCTGCCTGTCTCATACACACCCCTTCAACCATCTGGCGTGACAGAGCTGGAGAAGTCGGGCTGGAACTATGTGTAAGTATCTTGTTGAAAACACCCTGCAAAAAATCCGTCCCCACAATTCTTTTAAACTGCCTTCAAATGAATGCAAATAAGGAAGGCTTCACAGCTCTGCCAGGCATCTCAAGCTGGTTCCCCGGGCCCGGGTGGGTTGAGGGACAGACGTGCCTGCTGGAGGCACAAGAGCACCTTGAGGGGACAAAGGACAGACACGCTGCTAGGAGGCTGTAGAGCCGTGCTAGGGGGACTCAGTCTCTCACTGCAGCAACAGAGCCGGAGGGGGAAGGGAAGCCAGGATCATGGTGACTTCTCCCAGAGCTGACGCTTGAAGAAAAGGTCAGGATTATAATAAAGACCTAGGCAAGTTAGTTACTTGCTTTTGCCATTTCATGGATTCCAAGGCCAGGAGGGCCCATTGTGATCATCTAGTCTGACCTCCAGTAGAACACAGACCAGAGAACTTCCCCAACATAATTCCTCCAGAGTGCATGTTGTCCTCTGCAGCCCTGCCAGCAGTAGATGAACAGAAATATTAACATGTGGGCAGTGGAGGTCACTGCTTCATCCATCACTGTGCCACCCATCCCATAAAAACAGAGTCATCCCTAACCACCCCATCTCGTCCTCAGCTTCACTCACAGCAGCCCATGGATTAATAAATGGCAAGTAATGCAAATACCTGAGCAATATGAGCACACCTGGCCTTTTACACATGGTTCACGGGCACGCTCAGAAGTCATGCACCCTTTTATAATTACTAGATTTTTGCCGACTCCCATTGCAAACTGCTGGGCCCATGTAACTAAACACAAGGGGAACACTAATTCCCAAAAGTTGGGAAAATCTTGCAGTATTGCCCCAATGGGGGTTGAGGGGTGTCATGCCTTCAGGCGGTGTGCTCACATTCCTTACATTAGGGTGGATGCATCCCCCTAGGAGAAAAGGAGAAGTGGGGGTTAGCTTCTGGGATGAATTCACCCACCATGCTCTGCGAGAGGCTTCTTTATGCAGCAAAGAAGTATCACATGCACACTGCAGACTACAGTAGTCCCAATGGCCCTGCTGGGGTAGATGGCCTCTTTGTTGAGACTCTGTGATTCAGAGATCTCCATCGCAGGTCTCTCAGCTGTGGGTGGAAGCAGTTCTTCAAAGGGAACATGCCGCAGACAGACATAAAGGACAGGCTTTCTTCCTACTCCTGAATTGAGAGGACCCTCTGGTTTGAGGGCCCTGTGTAGAAGATGATGGGTTTGCACATGACATCAGGACCAGGGCGCCCTCTATTGTCTGAATTTATTTTCCTAACTGTAACTGTTGCAGTGAACCAAGTATCAGAGGGGTAGCCCTGTATCAACAAAAACAAGGAGGAGTCCAGTGGCACTTTAAAGATTTATTTATATAAGCTTATGCCCAAATAAATCTGTTAGTCTTTAAGGGGCCACTGGACTCCTCGTTGTTTTTGTTGCAGTGAAGTGACCCTACAGTAGAAAGCGGGTCTAAAATCCGAGCCAGGAAAAACTCCGGGCTTCCACTTGACAGGCATTCATGTGAACAGTTTCTTTGGGATCTGATTCATGCACATATAAAGAATGTATATAAATAACATACATAGTTTGAGGTTATCCCTCTCTCTCCTCCATTGTCTCTGTGTCATCTGTCCTGAGGTCATGGGGGGAAATGGAACTAAAAAGCCAAGGTCCAATTATCACCCTGAACACTTTGTTTTTATGTTGTATCCCACTCGTCTTCCCATTGTCTGCTTCGATTGCAAGGATCTCGAGGCAGGCACTGTCTTTTACTTCGGTTTGTACAGGGCCTAGTCATTCATCTGCAGTAATAATAACATTTGTGTGCTCTCTCTCTCTCTCTCCCTCACACTCACACACACACACCCCCCTGAGGTTCAAACAACTCCGAAATCTTAAAGCTAGAACTCCATCAAAACTACTTGGGTCTTAGCAGCAGCATGAAGAATTTCCCCCTGATCTTGATGCAATTCAGCATCAGGCTCACTTGAAAGGCTCATGAACATTAGCAAACCTTTCCGGGAATATGATCCAAAGTTAAAGCCAGTTCGGACTGAAATCCAAAACCCGGCCAGTCTGTTGTGGTTTCACAGCAAACATTTCATACGGCTGCTGTCTGTAGATTAAAAATGCTAACAACTAATGACATGGGGCTAATATTGCTCACCTAGACTCAGGGATGTTGTGAGGATTAATTAATATTGCCGTTCATCTTCACTCCCTGCCCTATGCTATTGGGTAGTGTTGCGCTATTTGGAGTGGGGTTACACTCCAAAGGTGACTGCACTTCAGTATGAAGAGCAGTTCATTGCATATGTAGTTTGAAATGATTGGGAAGAAAGGAACTGTATAAAAGATGTTCATTACTATTAATTATTATTATTATTATTATTATTCACTCAGGCTGAAGTGCAGCAGCTGCTTAGCAGCAAACAGCAAGAACACTGTGCAACAGTGAGGAATGATGGGGTGAAGAATATCATAGCCAAATGAAACCACAGAGGGAATTTAAATAGGCAGAAAAAAGGCACTGGAATTAATCCAAGACACTGTGGTTAGTACTGCAACTGTTGGGAGAAGTTCCATGAATCTTTAAGGATCCAGACCTTGGTTTTGTGGGTCCTGTCCTGTTCTGTGGCTATCCTTTAAGATTCCTGCACATGGTTTTCCCATTCTTTTTGTATCCAATCATTCTGACACAGTGAGTCCAAGGCTGTTTTATAATCCTCAGAAGACATGTTCTTGCTTGTTACTGTCTTCGTACCCACCTAATCCATTATTCCTCCCTCCTGATCCAGGAAGCAAATGCTAGCTATATGAAATTATAGTCTATGGAATTATAAATGAAGGTGTTGGATACATTATTGCCCAAGGTGTTGTAACTAGGGGCAGGCAGATGAGGCCATGTTCCAGTTAGGGTCAGTCTGAGGCTGGGGCTCAGATTATCAGAAGACTCAGGGCTCAGATTCATGTTACGATGTGCCATAGAGTTGTTAGATTTTCCCCTGCCCCAAAGTCAGCTGATTTTGGACAACTTCTGCCATCATGGGCCACATTCAAACCAGATCTGGAATCAGGCCACTTCTGGGTTTAACTCTGACTCCAGCTCGAGACATAACATGAGACACTAGAAAATTGAGAGTGAGAAGGATCAGATCTGTGGTTCCATTTGGGTCCATATTTGTCCTCAAGGAGCAAGAGGAGAGTTGCTGTAAATCTCCATGGTCTAAGTAGTCACTGGCTCTCCGCTTCCTGTCCAGTTGTGAATGGTAGATTTGATTATGTGGATACCTCCCAAGAAGGAATTGGACTCCACCCTCCAGGCTGCTCTGTCATATCACCTAACTGCCCACATATTATACAAATCCATTCATACCAATCTGGATCACATTCAAATTTGAGATCTAAAGGATCAAATCTTCACAGTCCACCAATAATTTTGACCACCCATACTCACATTTTCAATGAAATCCATCAATATAAGCATTTTTAATTCCATTTTTCTGCCAAAATAACACATGGAAAACTGATCCCCACTCTGTTTCCAGCCAGACCAGAAATTAAAATGTACCAGATGTTGTAAATGTTGTCTGATCTGGACTTTTCAATTAAACCCATCTTAAGAACATAAGAACAGCAATATTGGGTCAGACCCAAGGTCCATCTAGCCCAGTGTCCTATCTTCCAACAGTGGCCAATGCCAGGTGCCCCAGAGGGAATGAACAGAATAGGGAATCATCAAGTGATCCATCCCCTGTCGCCCATTCCCAGCTTCTGGTAAACAGAGGCTAGGGACACTTCAGAGCATGGTTTTCCATCCCTGCCCATCCTGGCTAATAGCCATTGGTGGACCTATCCCCCAGGACCTATCCCCCATTAGTCGTCTCTTTTCCAAGATGAAAACTACCAATCTTCTTAATGTATCATCATATGGAAGCCATTCCATACCCCTAATCATTTTGATGCCATTTTCTGAACCTTTTCCAATTCCAATATATATATTTTTGAGACGGGGCAACCAGATCTGCATGCAGTATTTAAGATGTGAGCATATCATGGATTTATCTAGAGGCAATATGATATTTTCTGTCTTATTTATCGCTTTCCTAATGATTCCCAACATTCTCTTAGCTTTTTTGTCTGCCACTGCACATTGAGTGGTTGTTATCAGAGAACTATCCATAATGACACCAAGCTCTCTTTCCTGAATGGAAACAGCTAATTTAGACCCCCATCAAATTGGGATTATGTTTTCCAATGTGCATCACTTTGCA